TTTTTCTCTTCCATGGTTATATTTTGTAATTAGGTTTAACAGCTCTCGTGGATCTTGGTTCACGTTGTTCTTTGGCTTCCTCCTTTCCACCTACTGCACCTTCTTCTTTTTCAGTCGTCATTTGGGAGTCCTCTTGGAATTCAATTAGTGAAATTTCTTTTTCTGCCTCTTCCTCCCCTCTGAAAAATTCTGTGTAAAATGCTTCAGCTTTCTCAATTGAGTCAATTCTATATCTCTGTTCTTGCCATGTAAACATTAAACCTTCTGGAATCAGCCATCTATAATTCACCTCTTTTTTAAGTAGCATTTTGGTCACAAATCGGTATTCCCTTCTCATCTCTCTCACTCTTCTGGGTACTTGTTTCAAGACCACAATCTCCTTATCTTTGTATTTCAATGTTTTCTCTCTTGCCACTTGCAATATTTGCGTTTTAATGGCTTTCTTTGTAAATCTGATGTGAACTTCTCTTGGTAAGCTATTTCTCATCGCATATCTTGTGAAGACTCGATAAACCTCATCTATTCCATCCATCATCTTCTCTTCAGTTATTTCCAAAGCTTCAGCCAATATTTCTATCATTATCTCAGCTAGATTTTGTCCTTTTTCTTCCTCTATGTTTTGGAATCTAAGATAAAATTCTGATCTGTCCATCTCCCATCTCAGCATACCACTTTTATCTTGTTCAACCACAGTTAATCTGTTATCAATGTCTCCAATCTTCTTGTCTCTTTGTTTATCTTCTTCAATTTTACGGAGTCTCTCATCATACTTCATCATCATTTGTTGGATGTTCTCCACTTTTTCATCGGTTTTCCCTGTTCTTTGTTCAATGTTCTCTATTCTCTTTTCAATATTCTCTGATCTTGTTTGAATATTTTGAATTCCTTGCATAATCATCTGCAGGGTCACTTTTTCTTGTTCTTTTTCTTTCCTTAATATTGTCTGTATTGAACGTTGTCCTCCAGATGGTGGAGAGGAAGAAGTGGAAGTTGAAGAACCAGGAGCTGTTAATTTCCTACTCATTTTGAGGAGTTCAAAATCTTCAGGTTCTTCTAGACCAGGGGTGTCCAACCTTGTCTTAAAGTTGCCAAGGTTGGACACCCCTGTTCTAGACCTTAATCCAGTTGTAAAATAACCAATTGCAGTTCCAAATAAAAATAGTAGGAAAAAAGTAGGAGAATAGTAAGAAGAGAGAAACCAAATAGTAATAATAATAGAAAAAGAAGAAAAAAATTCTTCAGGTTCTTGTATACCTTAATCCAATCGGTTGGTTAGATGACAGTAAAAATTCAAAAATGAAGGAAAAGACCATAAACACACCATGAACACACACAAAAAAGAAAAAGTTGTAAAATCCTAAAAAAGGTGAAAAAGTGAAGAAAAAGGCTAAAAAAGAAAGGAAAAATTCTTCAGGTTCTTCAATACCTTAATCCAATTAAGAGGTCTCAAATATAAATGTATGCACTAAAATAAACCAAAAAAAAGAAAAAGAAAAAAACCCAATATGGAAGGTAGATGGAAAGACAAAAATACCAGGAAGTGAAAGAGAAGAAAAAAAGCTACTCCCTTAAAAAGAAAAGGAAGGGAAGCATTAATACTAAAGCTTTTCCTTTAAAATAAAAAGCAGACGTAGAAATTTAACTTCCATAGACAAGAAAAAAACAAAACAAAAACAAAGACAAGTTCCAGAGAGCCAAAAATCCAAATAGCTATTGCAAAAAAAAAGTAAACTGATGAGGAGGGGTAGCACAGCTTAAAAAGAATAAAAAGAGCACACTGCACTTTGTTGATTATCCAAGGCTCTTGTTATAACTCTCTTCTCCAAAGACTTATCACCTTTTCTTTTCCTAAGCTTCAACACCAGACTCCAGCTGTTGATAGAAACCCAGAAGAGCACCTGCAATAACACTCTCCCGTGCTCTTCCCTCTATCTTATCAAGCAGGCAATGTCCTTGAAACAAAGCCTCAGTTCTTTCTCAGCTTTGTCTGGTCAAAAGAAAAATAGAATATTTCCAAGCCTCTAGTTGGCAGTGTTACAAAGTTTCTTTAGCTTTCACTTTCCCCCTCCTTTTCCAAGCAAAATATAATAAGAATTAATTAAAAGAAAAAAGAAAAAGATATTTAAAAAATAACTAAAAGGGAGTCTCTGGCTTAAAATAGTATAAAATCAAAAAGGAGAGAAGAATATATAAAAAGAAGAAAAAAACCCAGTCCAGTTTCAAAATATAAGGTCATGTGTAGAAAATCCAGCAATGAGAAAAAAAAATTACTTTGACATTCCTGTTTAAAATCGCCACTTAATCACTTCTGTCAAAACTTTTACAGATTCTTTCTTTCCCTTAGGGTGTCCTTTCAAGTCTTAAAATAAAGAAAAAGTTCTCACCAAACCGGCACACTCTCTCTTTCCGTTCTCTTTCGTTTCGGAGCTGTCCCAACTTCAGCAGCTTTAATGGCTGCCTCTTTGCCGCTGGCAAAAAGAGCTTCTCCTGGATCTACCAGGGACTTTGCGATATCCCTGGGATCGACAGGATGCGCTCTTTACATTCACTGTCTCTTCAGGACGGTTTAGATCCACTTGGACCGTCCAGGAGCAAAGATATCGGCTGCGATCTCAGATCTCCGAGATCGCATGCCATATCGTCACGACGCCAGCTCCGCCCTCTCTCCCCAGTGCTATTTCTTGTTTCTTTTCCATATTGTTTTGTACCTTTCTGTCCTTATCTTGTACTTGCTGAATCCATCTTTTTTCTTTTTCCTTCCTTCCCGGCTTATTTGCATTTTCAAAATAATTCTGTTTTACCAATTTCAGAGCCCTTAAATTTTTTTCCTGTTCTAAAATATTCAATCTGTGTTTGGCTAATCTACATTTACCTATAATCTGATCATTCCCCGATGTTACTTGTGCTTGTATTTCCAAATTTCTAATCTCCTTCTGTAGTTCATTGTATTCCTTCTTTTTCTTTTTTCCTTTTAGCATTATATGCTATCGTTAAACCTCTTAAATAGGCTTTCGTTGTATCCCACAAATTCTGTAAGGATGTATGTTCTTTTATATTTACTTCAAAAAATATTTCTAATTCCTTTTTTACTTTCTCTAAATATTCTTTTTCTCTCAGAATTTGTGGGTCCAACGTCCATCTCCCTCTTCATTTTTGTTGACCTTTCCATGTTACTATTAATGGGTTATGGTCTGCCCATACATTTGGTGCTATTTCTACTGATTCTATGTCATTCACTAAAGTTTTACTTGACCAGGCCATATCAATTCTCGACCATGATTTATGGGGAATAGAATAGAAGGTGAACCGATTTTCTTTTGGGTTGTGTACTCTCCAAATATCTATTAATTTTTATTCTTCTGCTATATTAAAAAAAGTTTTTGGAAGGGTGTTCTTTTTCTTCTTTGTTATAAGTACTTTGATAATCCCTTTTGATATCCACGACTGCGTTGAAATCCCCTAACATACAAATGTCCTCAATACCTAATTCTAGAATTTTTTTCATGAATATTTTTATAGTAATTTTCTTGTTGATTGTTGGGTGCATATACTACAACTAATAATAGTTTCCTCTGTTCCAGAAAAACTTCCAACATTAATGTTCTACCTATTAGATCTGCATATAATACTTCTGCTTTTAGTCCTTCTCTGACATATATTGCTATCCCTCTTTTTTTTCTTCTGCTAGGGCTGCATACAGTTTTCCTAATTTTTTAAATTGTAAGTATTTTTTATCCTGGGTTCTGATGTGTACCTCTTGGAGGCATACTATATCCATTTTTCGTTTTGCCAATCTCTTAAAAATTTGGTTCCTTTTAATTGAAGAATTAAGTCCATTTATATTTACGCATAGTATTTTCAAGTTGTTTTCCATTTTTCTTCTTTGCTACCACTCACTAATTCCTGTTGGTCTTTGCCTCTGTTTGTGCCCTTGTTCTTACTCTTTCTTCCTGTGGGGTTCTTCTTCTACTCTCCTTTTCTCTTCTTCCTCCCAGAATCCCCCAGCCAGAATGCTTTAAGAGGGGAGGACTACAACTCCCAGAATCCACTAGCAGGCATTCTTTAAGAGGAGAGGACTTCAATTCCCAGAATCCCCCATCCAGGATGCTTTAAGAGGGGAGGAGTTCAACTCCCAGAATCCCCCAGCAGGCATGCTTTAAGAGGGGTAGACTACAACTCCCAGAATCCACTAGTAGGCATTCTTTAATAGGGGAGGTCTACAACTCCCAGAATCCCCCAGCCGGCAAACTTTAAGAAGGGTGGACTACAACTCCTAGAATCCCCCACATCCGCAGAACGGTCCTAAGTGTGCAAATGGGCCCTGCCTCCCCTTTTTCAGGGCCGTTTGTAACTTGGAACAATCGCTAAACAAACTGTCGTACGTTCGCGAGGACCAGCTGTACTGGACCAAGCGAATATTTTCTGACCTTTTCCACCCTGCAGCTGGCATCAGGGTCATGATCAAAACGGAAGAGCCGCATTCCGATGAATGTCCCGGAGACTTGGAGCCGCATCAGTTGTCTAGCAGTTCAGAGGGCGATTTCCAGGGTCTGTACCCTGAAGCTCCCTGCGGCAGCCCCTACAGCACCGCCACCCTGCTGGGAAACTTCGCTGGCAACAAACTGGAGGAACGAAGCGAGTATGACATGAACTTCGGCGAGATCAAGAGAGTTACTGTGCAGCACAGCAACTGCACGGGTGAGTAGAGACTTCCAGAATTTCCCAGCCCGTGTGTTTTAAGAGGGGTGGACTTCAATTCCCAGCATTCTCCATTGTGCTTTTGAAGGGGTGGACTTCAACTCCCAGAATTCCCCAGCAGGCATGCTTTGGTTGTAAGTCGAGGACTACCAGTACTTAAGTACCCTGAGAGAATCTGGAATGTTTTACAGAGTTTCTGTGTTCAAGGATGGCAACTGCCTCGATTCATCCTCCTGCCTGTCACAAGAAGTTTTGAGCCATAAATGGTTTTCTCACCGCACACTACTGCATGCAACCCCCTTGATTTTGTTTTGCTTTTCTGTCTTTCTTGCAAGATGACGGGATCGTAATCAAAATGGAGGAAGAAGAAGAGGAAAAGGAGGAGGAGGAAGAAGAGGAAGAAGAGGAGGAGGAGGAAGAAGACCCCATCTGTTTGGAGAATCGGCAGTTGTTTTCGTCCCACGTCGAGCCGCCCTGCTCGCTGACTTGCAATGTAGAGGTTCTCCGGGAGGAACAGAGGGTGACCAAGCCACCCCGACCCACCGTGGGGATCTGCGCCCCGCTTTGTGAGAGAGACAGTAGCGTTGAAACACGACCGGTCATGCTGCAGCAGCGAAACCGGACGCGTGAGCGGCCGTACATCTGTCCGGACTGCGGCAAGAGCTTCATGCTGCGGATCAACTATATAATCCATCAGCGCAACCACCTCAAGGAGGGGCCCTATGAGTGCCATGCCTGTGACCTAAGCTTCCGCATCAAGCAGCAATACCTCCTGCACCAGCGGCTGCACACGGTGCAACGCGGGGTGGCTCCTCCGCCCCGCCGTGGACAGGCGTACCCTAACAAGCATAGCTTCAAGCAACAGCCTCAGCCACCCCCACCACCTGGCAAGCCCTACAAGTGTAGCGAGTGCAACAGCAGCTTCAGCCACAAGTCGAGCTTGAGCAAGCACCAGATCACGCATGTCGGCGAACGCCCGTACTCGTGCGACGAGTGCCGGAAGAGCTTCCGGCTGCAGATCTCACTGGCCATGCACCAGCGGGTGCACGCCAGCAAAACCGAGCTCTCCTTCATCTGTCCTCAGTGCGGGAAGGCCTTCAGTCGGCCGTCTCACCTGCTGCGACACCAGCGGATTCACACGGGCGAACGGCCATATAAGTGTAGCCAGTGCGACAAGACGTTCAGCGAGAAGTCAAAGCTGACCAACCACTACCGGGTGCACACCCGTGAGCGGCCCCATGCCTGCAGCGAGTGCGGCAAGGGTTTCATCCGCAAGCACCATCTGCTCGAGCACCAGCGTATCCACACGGGCGAGCGGCCGTACCACTGTGCCGAGTGTGGGAAGAATTTCACCCAGAAGCATCACCTGCTCGAGCACCAGCGTGCGCACACGGGTGAGCGGCCGTACCCATGTACGGAGTGCGCCAAGTGCTTCCGTTACAAGCAGTCACTCAAGTATCACTTGCGGACACACATGGGGGAGTGAGGGGGAGTCCCTGTTTCCTGCCCCCCCCTTCCCCCCAAAGCCAGCCCCGGTATTCAGGGACAGAGGACTTAATCGAGGAGAGGGTGAAGGACGTTCTGCAGAGATACCTACCTCTCTGCCCAACAGAGCACTGAATCGGGGTCCCTCCCTCCAAGCCAGTAATGGGTTTCTGGCTCAACTAACCTTCATCTCTTCCAGCACTGTAACCTTGATGGACACAAATTATCTTCTCCAAGCTTCTGGCTTCCTTTGCTTCCTCCCCCTTCTGTTCTTTTTGATAATAAATGTGCAGCCTGATTTATTTGGTAAGCATCTGCTTAAACTTCTGGCTTTCTTTCCTTTGGCTATTAACGGGGGGCCACGGTGGCTCAGCGGCTAAGACGCTGAGCTTGTCGATCAGAAAGGTCGGTGGTTCGAATCCCTAGTGCTGTGTAACGGAGTGAGCTCCCGTTACTTGTCCCAGCTTCTGCCAACCTAGCAGTTTGAAAACTGCCGGCCACGTGACCAGTCTTTGGACAGCGCTGGCTCTTTGGCTTTGTAATGGAGATGAGCACCATCCCCTAGAGCTGGAAACGACTAACTCGTATGTGCGAGGGGAACCTTTACCTTCACCTTTCCCCAAAATACTGGCGGGAAGGGCAGAGCCGTCGGTAGCGGGGATGATGGGCTGCGGGGAAGCCCCCGGAACAGTTTATTCCTAGAATCCCAGAGTCTTCAGCGACGCCTACAGAAAAGGATACAGCTCAGCCTTCCTTATTTTAGCTTCCTTCTGTGCGTGATATAGGTAGTCCTTGGCTTACGACAGCAAGTGAGCCCAAATGTTCTGTTGCTAAGGGAGATAGGGGTGTGAGCTTTGCCCCACCGTATGACCTCTCTTGCCACAATTGTTAAGTGAATCCCTGCAGTTGTTCAGGTAGTAACAGTTGTTCAGTGAATCTGGCTTCCCCATTGACTTTAACAGAATAACGGAGTTGGAAGGTACCTTGGGGGTCTTCTAGTCCAGCCCCCTACTCAAGCAGGAGACCCTTACATAATCACAGAATGACAGGAGTTGGAAGGGACCTTGAAGGTCTTCTAGTCCAACTCCCTGTTCAAGCAGGAGACCCTTACAGAATAACAGTGGGAAGGGACCTTGGAGGTCTTCTAGTCCAACCCTGCTCAAGCTGGACATCCTGAAACATTTCCAAGAAACGGTTGCCCAAGCTCTTCTTCAAAGCCTCCAGTGTTGGAGCACCCACAACTTCTGGCATTGCTTGTCACATGGTCGCCATAGGGATACTGCAATAAAGATGAGTCAGTTTGAATTTTGATCACATTACCACGGTGGTGCTGCCACGGTGGTGCTGCAACTGTCGTAAGTGTGAGAAATGGTCATAACTCACTTTTTTCAGTACCACTGTAACTTCAGTCACTAAATGACCAGTTGTAAGTTGAGGACATGTTTATTTGGGGGGAGGGATTGCCAATGGAAGGCCTCTGGCTTATATTTTGTTTTGTCTCAGTTTTTAGTACATTTTGGTACATTGATTAGATGTTATCGTTTTTGTAAAATCCTTTCTCTGGAGGGAGGAGAGGATTTTGTAGCTAAGGTGGACACATGGAACGTTCCCTTTGAATCGGTGTTTTCCAAAGATGGCCACCTTAAAACGCGTGGACTTCAACTCTCAGAATTCCCCAGCCATCCGTTTCTTCGTTCCAGAAAGATGGTGGACTCACCAAGTGCTTTTCTCTGATCCTGCCCATCGGAGGATCTCGAAAGTTAAAGACATTCAATAGTGATTAAGAAAGCAATGCAATGTTATGTCCATTATTGGCTGCATGGTACTTTTGATCCCAACTCTGAGCTGCTCAGTTCCCAGTGGTTCCCACAAAACCACGATTCCTGCATGTCAATCAATCAGAATAGAGCTGAAAGGGACCTTGGAGGTCTTCTAGTCCAACCGCCTGCTCAGACAGGAGATCCTATACCAGTGTTGGCGAACCTTTTTGGCACTGAGTGCCGAAATGGGAGTGTGCGCATGCAGGGGAGTGCTGGAAACCGGAAAAGCAGTTCCCCGGTGTGTGTGTGCAGGAACGCTGGGAAGCTCAGCTCCCAGTTTCTGGCACGCATGTGTGCCGGCCACCTGGTCTTCTGGTTTCCAGCGTGCATGTGTGCGTGAAGACCAGCTGGCCGGTGTGCATACATGTGCCGGCAACTGGAAGAGCAACAGGCAATGGCTGGCATGCCTGGAGAGATGGCTGTACGTGCCACTTCCGTCACGCGTGCCATAGGTTCGCCATCACAGCTCTATACCGTTTCCAGACAACTGGCTGTCCAGTCTCTTCTTAAGTGTGGGAGCACCCACAACTTACGGTGGCAAGCAGTTCCACCAGTTAATTGTTCCCACAGGAAGTTTTTCTTAATTCCAGGTTGGTTCTCTTATTTGATTAGTTTCCATCCATTGTTTCTTGTCTTGCCTTCTGGTGCTTTGGAAAATTAAGTTGACTCTCCCTCTTCTTTGAGGCAGCCCCCCAAAGACTGGAAGGCTACTATCATGCCCTCCCTCACTTAGTCCTTCTTTTCTTCAGACTGGCCAAACCCAAATCCTGCAACCGTTCTTGGTATGTTTTAGCCTCTGAGCCTTTAATCATCTTAGTTACTCTTCTAAGATTAGTTTAATCATTGTAAACACGAGACAGATGCCAAGTGTTCTGAATTTTGATCATGTGACCACAGGGATACTGTGACACGTTGTAAGTGGGAGAGGTGGTCCCAAGTCACTTTTTTTCAGTGCTGTTGTGACTTTGAACGGTCACTAAATGGATGGCTGTAAGTTGAGGAGTATCTATTAGGAACGGTGCAAGGGGGCTTGCTTTCCAGCCTCATCTGCCGAGGGGGGGGGGGGGCTTCTTGCAAGGGGGGGGGTCTTTTGGGGGTCCTTCAGGCAAGGGGAGGAGGCTTCTGGCAAAGGGAGGGGGCTTCTGGAGGGGCTTAGGCAAGTGGAGGGGGCTTCTGAGGGGCTTTAGTCAAGGGGAGGAAACTTCAGGGGGGCCTTTAGGTGAGGGGGCTTCTGAGGGGCCTTTAGTTAAGGGGAGGGGGCTTAGGGGGGCCTGTACGTGAGGTGAGGGAGCTTCTGAGGGGCCTTTAGTCAAGGGGAGGGGGCTTCTGGAGGGCTTAAACAAGATGTGAGGTGGCGGCTCAAAAGACCACCAGGATTCAAAGTTGATCCAAGGAAAAAGGCTTTATTGAATACACATCTGCAGGTGTGTGTTCCACCCTTGGCAGCTGGGAGGAACTCAGAGCATAGCATTTACTCTATTCTTATACCCTAAACTACCGCCCCATTATGCAAATGGCTTGGTTTACAATCTACCTTTCAGAACACAGGTTACAATTCATTACCTTATATGGTGCATAACACACAACAAGCACTTCCCTAACACGATACATTCCAAGGTGGTTCAATAGTTCAGACATTCCAGGATAGTTCAATCAGTGCCTGGTACCTCCCTACCCTAAAGACACTCCTTTCAACATGAGGTTTGAGTCACAAAAATGGATACTTTAATCTAACACTTCTCACAATCCCCCCTTCTCTTGCTCCATCCTTGACTCAAACTCAGTTAATAACAAGTCTGCTGTTTCCCATAGTTCTTCGGGAGGTTCCTCCAGGTGCCCCAATGGGTCATATTGTTGTCTCAACACCATCATTTGTACTGTGTCAATTCGATCTTTCATAAAATTCATTAATTTGTTTAAGATACATGGACCAAAGGTGAGGATTAATAATAACAAAATTAAAGGTCCTATTAAAGTGGAGATTAGGGTGGTCATCCAGGGGGATGTATTGAAGAGAGATTCAAACCACCCTTGATGGTCATCCCTTTCTCTTTTTCTTTGGTTCAGTCCTTCCCTCAGTTTTTTCATGGAGTCCTGTACTATCCCGGAATGATCTGCATAAAAACAACATTCTTCTCTTAACGCCACACATAACCCTCCTTCTTGAAGGAACAACAGATCCAGTCCCCTTCTATTCTGTAGAACTACTTCTGACAAAGAGGTTAGGGATTTTTGTAAATGTGAGATGGATGTTTCTATTCGTTCTAAGTCTTCATCGATAGCTTGTCTTAAATAATTATATTGACTGTATTGAGTTGTTATAGAGGCTATTCCAGTCCCAGCCCCTGTTGCTCCCAACCCAACCAGCAAAGCTATGGTAAGAGTGGAGATTGGTTCCCTCTTAACTCTTAAACGTCCCCCTTGTTCATACAGTTGATACATCTCACTCTTGGGATGAAAGTAAATTCTAGGTAATATTTGGACCAAAATAAAAAACCCCGCTTGGTTTATTATTTTTCCATATGCACAGGCAGTGAGTCCCGTATTGCACGCCCACCATCCCCCCATCGGAGGAATATAGTATTGTTTTTCCTGGATGGTCGAGTTAGTACTATTACAGTATTGTTGATACTTCTTGGGGACTTTTCCTATACACACACCTTGGCCCGTTATGGATTGGAGCGTTTGACTACCTTTCTTCCACCTGCAACCCTGATCCGATTCTGAGACATTGTATTCCGCTACCATCCCCACTCCTTCATAATAAGGGGGCTGTACGTTATAACAAAACCAGCAGGAGTTAGTCATATTGGGATTGGAAGCATTTATTATTCCAAAACTGGCGTTCATTAAAACCCAGAGCGGGTTTGCGAATCTCCTGGGTTCCTCTGGGATGGCTGAGGTTCTATCAGTGGGTTGTGTTGTTCCCTCTATCTCTCTGGGGGAGTTTTCCCTTAACACAGGATTTGGTCCTATTGCTGCAGGGGTTTCCAAGGTTGATTGTATCATTTTTATGGTGAACAAATTTCCCTCATCCTGATACCCTAGTCTATTTCTCTCGTATAGTCGCACTCCCCAGGTAACCCCTTGCTTCCATCTATCATATTTTTTCCCAACCTCAGTGAAAATGACTCTTACTGGATTACATTCTCCCTCAATCGTACCGTCCTTTCTTTTCTTTTTACATGGAAGGCTCTGAGTCACTCTAGTCACCTGAATCAGATCACCTTTGAATGGAGGGTCCCACCAGAGGTGTCCTGTGGACACACAACTCCAGGCTGCACAATAAAACTGATCGGCCCCTCCACAAGTCTTTTTGTAGCTTCTTTCAGTTTTATGTCCAGGGCAGACGTAAAAATGGTGTTTCTTTATGAACTCGTCATTGTTGGTGGACAAGAGGACCCTTCCCAGGTCAAATTGCAGTTCTGGAAACCAAGTATTGGGAGGCCTCTTTTTGCTAGTCCAATTGACTATATCTGAATGGGAATCA